TTTTTTATTTAAAAAATTTACTAGTTTTTCGTTTCCATAAAAATAACAAATCACTGAAATCAAAAGTAATACAAAGTTTAAAAGGGGTCGACAGCTGCTATCGCAAAGTTTGAAACAACTGGCTCAACGACATGAATACCACGACTTATAACGGATGGAGTAATCTTGTTCATTTTACAATTTTTTGCTTTTTGTTTAACCTACGTTTGTCTTGTAAGAGCATAGGCATACGTAAAACTATACTATCGCTCAACTATTTAGTCTCGCTTTGATACCTACGAACTTATATGGAGATGCGCACACTACTTGAATTATATTTGTGCAACTAAACAGTTGAATTGGCTTCGAAACAATCAACAATCGCAATGCGATACATTAGTCGAAGACGTGCGCCCGTTATAAACGTTGACATAGGAATAATACTGACCGGCAAGAAAAAACACTTTTAAAAAATATATAAGCTTTCTTTTTTTAATTAATTCGAAAGGAACCTATGTAGAGTTTGTGTGCCAGTGTGAAACTGACAGCTGTTAGCTGACAGGTAGCCTTTGTAACCCTACAAAGACAGAGCCTATAAATATTTTAACAATGCTTCTAGGATGCCGTAAAGCCGACCGCAAAGTTTGCACTGCGTTTACTGTACACCCGATGTTTATTTAAACCAGGAAGTTTACGATACCCTTGAACGTTCTAAATATCAATATTATTAAAAAAGAAAAAAAAAACTGTTTTGTTGGATTTCAGCGTTAATGAAACTTAGAAGCATGTAACAAATAATATAATGTCGATAGTATACTTGACATTTATATGACTACTAATTAAAACCTAAACTATAGAATTGCTTTTCAAAACCTTTGATTCATCAAAACATTTAATGTTTTTAGAAATAGTTATTAGTTGTTATTATAAAATATTATTTAAGTGTAGACTCTGATTTTTTAATTTTTTTTTAATTCTTCGAAATATGTTCAACTAATAGCATTTTAGTACATCAAGCAGTAATTTTCTTTCAAATGTAATATCTTCATACTTCATTACAATTGACATTAAGCTTAAGAAAACTCAACATTTAGAAGAAAAATTGTCGTTGTAAATTAAATAAGTAGCCAGCGTATATCATTAAATTACTCCGCTTTTTTAACAGCAATTTGTATTTAGTTGAATTGCTCAAACAATTTTTCCTTATCCATTTTTCCTCCATTTAACTACAAGGAATTCTCTGCGTTAAAAGACAAATGTAACCAGAAATGTTACTTAGATCATTTAAATAGACTTTGATAAAGAAAATATTATTACTCAAGAGCATAAGTAGATTTTATGATATTCTGTTAATATCTTAATAAATTATGATAATTTACGTACATTTAATCTTCACAAAACTCGACTATTTAACATAAATTTTAATCAACTTTAGTTGAATTGAATTTTATATAACACCGAAAAATCTCACTGCAGTCGACGCCAAACTCATTCATTGTTACTATTCTAAAAGAATTTAAAACGTTTCCAAAGCTTTGTATAGATATTTCGATAGCTCAGGAATTGGTTTTATAACTGTTTCACAATAGACTGACTCCACTATTCATTTTTATAAAGAAATAGTTTTATTTGATAATAGTAAGGCTAATGTAGGTTCTTATTGATTTATTGTACACAGCAATATTTGTTGATATTTTTTAATTTAATTTAATCTTCAATGTAATCTTTGCACGATAAAATATATACTAAAAGTGTTTAGTAAAAAGGTGTCCCTTGATTACTGGACCCGTTTTATCCGCACACGATCAGCATCTCTTTGCTTTCCCTGTTAGAAATTTATTCGCCAGATATAATCTAAATCCAAAGTAAAATGAATCACGAAAATCACATTTAAAACGACAAAAAATACCTATGCCTTTTACATATCGTACTGACAATAGCGACATTGGCACAATACATTTTTGTGAAAACATAAAAAATACGAGTACACACTACAAAATAAAAGCCACATGTAAACATTTTGTAAATCTGTATGTGTGTATAATCTTGTAAATATATAAAAATAGCTTTCGCACGTGACTCCGTCCGCGAATTAAAAAATAAAACAAAACTGAGACGCCTATTTGTTCCTCCAGACTATCCTCTACGTCTATGCCAAATTTCATCGAAATCCGTTCAGCCGTTTAGGCTACAAACTCTAACATACATCCGTCCATCCATCCATCCATCTAAACTTTCGCATTTATATTAAGTGTTAGTATGATTATGTAACATGATTTGTTAATCAATTTAATGTTTATACAAAAGTTATGTAACAATCAATAACTTCATTGAAATAGCTTTTATACTACGGTTTTTTTTCGGGAAGGCAGTGGCTCCTTAAGCACAGGTTTTACTAGTTATGGAGCCAAAGCGACATTAATGCTGTAATCACTGAATATACAATAAAGAATCTTTATTATTATTGTGTTATTATTAGTAGTTTTACGAATACATTCAGATTAAAGACCTTCATGTTCTGTTAAAAAAAGAAGTCTTATCACGTGTGTTTATTTAAAACGAGGGCTTAAAATATAACAATAGCAAAATACAAACCACGTTCGGACTTAAATAAACAGAAGTCAATGTTGAATAGAAAATGGAAAAGCAGTCGCTTAAGAGAGCGAGTGAGGCGTGACCCGAGCTTTTGCGAGACCCATTCTCATGAAATACGGTGCTTTCGTGCACAATACTGTTTAACTTTTGCAAAAACACGGGGACAATGTATGAATTATTTTTTTACACACTTCAAGAACTTTGAATAAATGCGGTAGAGACTTTATGTCATTGAATGCGCTAAAAATACACTTTGCTAATTTAGACTACTTCATTGTTAGTTAATTTGTGTTGAAATATTATTATATCTTATAATTTTTGTACAGAATTTCTTTTTTACAAAATACTGTATTTTGCTAACGACTTCATCCGCGTGTAATTTAATTAAATCAAAGTAAGTAGCCTATGTGTTATTTTATGGAGATCCGTTGAGCAACTGATGCTACAAGCTCTAGCATCCATCCACCTATCCATCCTAAGCAATAAAATGTACACTTGTTTTTAATAAATGTTACTTTTTAATATAAATACAGTACCAATTTTAGTTGTATTGTGTAATCTAACATCCGCATAGTTACAATTCTAGCTACAAACAACTAACACAAATCGAATGGACACTGCAGCTATGTTTTCTTTTTTAAAATCGCATTCAATAATGAACTCTATCACTGTAGTATAAGAATATATTTCGAGTAAATCATAAAGAAATGCAAGGGACTACAATGCAGTGGGACATTAAACTTTGGTGGATATCTAAACTTCTAATATATACGCTCAATTTGTTACTGCGTCCAGCGTTGTCCAGTACAACTGCATCCGAATATAAAATAACGGCTTAGTCGTTAGAGGATTCATTGAAAGTTTTAAAGAGTAAGCAAACTCATCTATTCTACTCATATACTCTATAGATGTAATAAAATAGTAGTGTCTATTTGTAACATCAAAAGAAAAATTCCATATTTCGAGAACATGATGTAGTTATTTGCATTGCTGATAACGAAAATCGCATTTAATTTTTTTTTTGTCTTTCTGTCTACGAGCTGCGTTTGTTCTTGGTAATCTCCGGAACGGCTGAGCCGATTTCGACCAAACCTTCACTGGAGAGTAGCTGACATGGACGGACATATTATAGGCTACTTTTTTTTAAATTCAGCGCTATCAAAATGGCGCCCGGACCGCTATCTCTCGAACGGGTGAACTGATTTGGGCGAGAGTTTGACTGGAAGGTAGCTGGTAAAAAGTAGATGCATGCGGGAATGTTATAGAAGTCCATTTTTTTAAATTCCACACTAAGGAATTTTGCGGGCACATGCTCGTTTATTGAATAAAATTTTAATAACATTTATTTGCGTTTTAACATACTTGTATGTCTAGTGAGAGAAGCTAATTTCATTTAAAATAACAGTTAAACGGTGTTTACGAAATTCATTTAATGTTATGAAAATTCTAGTTTTTGGGTTAACAACTTCCACAGCGCTTTTAATTAAAAGCTTGCATAGCTGCAGGTTAAGTTTTAACGAACACATCTGTTGCTTTGGACTATTTGCTTTGGGCGGTTAATGTAGCCAACATTTACTCTTCGCATTTTCAGTTTGCATCAGTAAGTGCGAAATTGCACACACGGGCACAGAATTACACATAGGGACACAAAAATACACATATATTACATCACCAACTCACTATACGTCCCCACCGAGGTGCTCGGAGCCTACCCTAAGTAAGTGGCGACTAGGCCATAGTAAACCACGTTGGCCAAATGCGGGTTGGTTGATTTCACACATATCTTTGAATTTTTTCTCCGATATGTGCAGGTTTCCTCACGATGTTTTCCTTCACCGTAAAAACGTCTGGTTAATTATGTACATATGAAAATTCGAAAAATCACATTAGTACATGGCGGGATTCGAACCCAAGATCAATTATAAGTCAAGTGCTTAAACCACTGAGCCACTGACGCTCCTAAAAATACACATAGGGACACAAAAATACACACAAAAACTCAAAATCCCACACAGGGTACAATAAATTGAGACATAAAAAATAAAAGAGTTTTTCAACTCTAAAACAATCCAAATACTAATCACCTTATTACATATTAAAATCATTTTTGATACCAAATTACGAACATAAAATGAAATTCTCTGTAACGAAATGTAGGATTGATTAAATATTTAATAGCTCGTAATAAAGTTCCAAAGTAATCCATTCGCTAACTCTTCGAAACTTTCTCTTGTACACTATTATTAAAGTAGGCAGATATTAATTATTAATATGAAAAATTTGTATATAAATACGAGCATTTTGACTATACTATTATATCTTGATAATAATTGTCAAATTTCGTACCATTGTTTCATCGTAAGAGAACAAGCAAGTCGCTTCGGTTCCACTAGTCTCGAACTAAACTTACTACCAATATGCCAATAATGAGCAGAGAGACAGCCAGAAAAGAAATACATAAAACACTGAGTCTTTGCAACTTTTTCACACGTCAGATTGGCTTTTCATTCATCGATGATTTGCCTAGTACTGCATTCGGTCGTTTGAGATCTTATATATGGTTTACGATATCTGCAACTTTATTGTTTTTAATGGCGAGCGCAGAAATTAACTACGTCACATTGAAGTTAATAAAATCTTCATCGGTGGTTGAATTTGTTGCCAGTTTACATATCGTTGGATATGATGCAATGAGTAAGTCCATATTATTTAAGTAACTTTCGCAACAAAAGTGTAAAATCGTAAATAATATTGTAAATATATTTTGTTTTGCTAGTGTTTATCTTCTTGTTTCGTGACTATTCACTTCTTGATTTGTTTTAATTTTTAGGTTTCGGGAAATTATTGACGATTTGGTACAAAAGAAATGAATTCAGACAACTGGTTAATGAACTGGCTGATATTTGGCCAATGTCCGATGACGACAAAGAAGAAGTAAATATAAAACGAAGTCGAACATCGTCCCTGCGTATTGCACAGTTTTGTGAGTATAAAAGCAGACGAAATCGCAAGCAACAGCTACTATAACTTTTTGAACCCAACAATGCTCAACAAAACATAACTTTAATTTCAGACTATGCTTTTTGGAACGTTTTAGGAGTTTGGTTATACAACTTAACTCCGATTGTTGTGTTTGTATATCATAAGGTAAAAGGTGAGCCTGCAGATTTGGGATACATTTGGCACATGGCTTATCCGTTTGACAAAACCAAACCGATATATCATGAACTGGTGTTTATTTTTGAAGCGTGTGGAGGTAAGTAATTCGTGGTTTTTTTTTTCTCGTATACGTAAATGGGCTGCCAGTTTTCTTAGAAGAAAATGTCATTAAAACATTCTTGAACATACTTATGCGTTCGGAATAAAAAAGAAAACTATAATTACCATCTTCACCTCTGACTTTAAGACGATTAAAACCAGGACAATATAGCCGTCGTAAACAAATACGTAATTATTTATATACGAAGAGTACATTTACGTTTACTTTCAGGTATGATCTCAGTGTGCTCTATGCTTGGATCTGATATATTATTCATGACAATGGCGAATCACATCAGTTTGTTATTACGTCTACTTCAACTAAGAATCCGTAGACTAGGCAGTACAAAAGCCAGCAGCACAATAGCAAACAACAGCGAACATGTACACGACACTTACGACGAAATTATATCAGCTGTAAAAACTCATCAACGATTGATCACGTAATTTTATTCTTTTTAAAATATGTTGTTAAATCTTGCAACTGAAATTTAATTTGGGTTACAATATTAACTAAATGGCGATATTCTAAATCCAATATGGTTGATCAAAAAATGGCGGGCGGACTAAAATGGCGTATAAGTTACAAACACAAAACTTAGTAGTTATATCTTGACGTATTATTACAAATATGAGCCGCTTAATTAAACTTTTACATGACCAATTTTATATATACATATCTACAGCTAAATCACATGTCTAAATAATTGTTATTTGTTAATAAATTTTAATAAACTTTGTTAAACTGTACAAGTAAGATACTATCCTTATATGTTTTCAGATATGGAACTGATTTGGAGAATGCCTTTTCACTTGTTAATCTCATTAATGTTTTGTTAAGTTCCGTTGATATTTGCTGCGTTGTTTTTAACATTGTAAGTTGCATCATTATAACAGAATTCGTAAAGACTTTTTCCTTAGTTTTGTTTTTAAATAATACTGGCACTTTTTATCGTAAACATGCAAGAGTTCATCTTCTCCCCTGCCTTATCCTACTCCCATAGGGTCGGCGCATCGGGTTTTCGTCCTCCAAAGAACTCTATCATCCGTCATCTCAGTCATCACTCCCTTCTAGATCATGTTACCTTTCACGCAATCCATCCATCTCTTTCTAGGTCTACCTCTATCGGTGTACCCCTCCACAATCATAACTGTCGTCCGTCTTGTTACATGCTTTTCATCCCTTCTCATAACATGCCCATACCACTCTAACCTTATACTCCTTATTTTCTCTTATTTTGATTATAAACATAGTAAACATTTTGATAGTAAACATGTAAGAGTTAAAAATTTAAATATACAAGTTATAAAATTATTTTGTAAAAGCTTTTAGATCCATGGATGGCGATGAGCAATAAATTCTTTTTGGGCGCAGCGCTCACCCAAGTCGGCATACTATGCTGGTATGCACATGAGATTTATACTTCGGTATGTATTTATTAGGTTATGTACGCAACTTACGTAACTTCGTAAAGTTAATTAACTTCTAAACTATGCAACTTGCAGAGTTCGGGAGTAGCTGACGCAGTATACGAAAGTGCATGGTACACGGAAAACATTCGTTGTCAAAGAGCGCTACTTATTTTGATGCAAAGGCAAGTTAAAGAAAGTCCTAATCCAAACTAATACGGTCTCTCGTTCTATTTTATATCTATTTAGAGCGTCGGTGGCTCCGTGGTTTGAACAGTTGACTTGTAATCTACAGGACTTGGGTTCGATTCCCGCCATGTATCAATATGATTTTCGATTTTTCGAATTTTCATATGTACATAATTTACCCGATGTTCTTACGGTGAAGGATGCAACCTGCACATATCGCCGAAGAAATTCAAAGATATGTGTGAAGTCAACCAACCCGCACTTGGCCAGCGTGGTTGGCTATTGCCTAGTCACCCCATATTAGGGTAGGCTCCGAGCCCCTCGGTGGGGACGTGTGGTGAGCTTGGTGATGATGATGGTGATGGTTCTATTTTTAAACCGTGTTTTTTTTAATCTGTTAAATATTATTCCAGGTCACAAAAACCGTTATATTTCACAGCGTTGAAGTTTCACTCCATCACAATGAGTACTTATAGCTCGGTGAGATATTCATTTAACTAAATTTATATCCTCCAAATATTACGTAGTTATGAACCGATTTTAGGAAAATATAGATTTGACAGGTTCTTAGGTATATGGTGTCATTTACATTCTTTACCTTTAATTGTTTTATTTTCTCTTTGTGGATTAAGTTGCGGGTAAACATTCAAGGAAAAACTAACTACTAACAAATTATGAATTTTTCGTTGAGGTTTCACAGCGGAGTACGCAACAGCAACAACGGAGTATTTCGGCTTTTTGTCCCTTGATGCCCATTGCTCAGGATTATGAATAATATTTCAATTATATTACACACATCAATTCAGTTTATTAAATTTTGAAATAAAGTGTGTTTATGTAGGTAACCTAGAAAGAATTAAAACCAATGGCACAAATATAAAAGTGAATTTTATAATTATTAATTGTAAAGTACAGTCTTAAACTTATCCTAGGTTTAAGAACGTTAGGCGACCAAATAACGTTCGCTACCTATATCGTTTTCGGGGTATATAATTTCAAAGGCAGAGTTGAGTGGACAGTGTAATCGATACTTCTCAGTAGATAGGAAGTTATAAGAGAAATATATCAACATCTATACATGAAAATGCTTGTATTTTTTCCTAATTAATTGTCTTTATCTGTTGCAGATTTTAACATCGTCTTATTCGTATTTTACTCTCCTCTACACCACGTATCGTAGAGACTAACAAAATAAGAAAATTTGTTATGTGAAGAAATATTTATATGAATAAGAACGCACAGATCAGCTACATAAAGAAGATACATACAAAATAACTAAAACTTATCTATTTGAAATTTCCTATTAGTGAAGCAATCTTATGTGAGGTTTTGAATATCCGTGATTTTATTCAATGTATTGCAGAATGTATTCCACAAATATCTTTTGTTCTTAAATATTTGCCCACATAATTTCTACGAGAAATGTCCCCGAAGGCACTCCCACAAACTTTGGCATCGTAAATTTTCACTTCTTTTTGTTTCGACAAAGCTTTTAATATTGCGTAAAATCGGGGCCAATTTGAAAAGAAGGCAATTTCATGAAATGAGGAAGGTTCCTTCTCGAATTCATTATAACGGAACGTGACGGAACGCGTACTCTACAGCCTTATGTATTATACCGATCGTATCGAAATTAAAAGTTTTGGATCATTATTTTCAATGCATGTTTAACAATTAACTTGCAGAATATTTTGCATACGGCAGTAAACAAAATAATGAATAGGTTATGTGTTCTTCTAGACTTCTATATTTGGGATTGGAGATACAAACAAATATCCATAGATTAAAACTTTGATATTTTTAATATTAGTATGATATCACTCTATCTAATATTTAATCTTGGCTGTTTTGGGATAAAAAGATTTTCACTGTTCGCTTCCCTCAATTGTAATTTGAACTCAACAAATCAAGTTGTAAAACTTATTTTAATTGATGAATCTTTTGTATTTACTCAGGCTCCTTACAACATCGGAGCAAAAACTTTTTAATTGGAGTTTGTCTCAAAACTTAATTATCGCAGGTAAATTATTACTCGTATAACAAAATAATCTTTAAGAATAATTTGAAATTCAAATAATTTTATGGATAACATCTCGTTTATTTTCATTAAATTAGTTAAAAACTTTTCTACTTAGGTGTTTTGTGTACACTACTGTTTTAAGAGTAGGAACTTTTATGTAGAGTTTTAATTTAAATTAACTTTTTTTATATCATCCGAAAGATTTTTCTTCTTTGTTACTTTCAAAGAAGTACATGTAACTCACTTCTATACCGTTAAGAGGTTTATGCAGGTTTTTCTTACCTTTTTTAAGGTAATGAGAACAGAAAATTATATTCAAATTAAACTACTAAATACGTTTAGTTTATGTACAACGGCAGAATGGCATTGATCCGTCGGGATTAGCAGTTTCAGTTTTCAATTGATCTCTCGGACGTTCCTCGGTCCCATTAATTTTAAACGTCAAAGCCCTGCTTTGAATATTAATAGCGAATCGCTTGTTAGCTCCTTAGGACACGAAAATTAATACATATATTCAATGGTTTCAATATTCAAAATAATTAATGACATCAATCCAAGCAGCTTCAAAATTAACTCCTGCAGGTGTCTCGGAGAATGTGCATTTTGTTTGTAAAGTGTATAAAAATTCTTATGCTTAAACAAGTTTAGCGACAGCACGATGTGAAATTTAGAAATATTTTTGGTAAATGTTTTTTTAAAAAAACTTTACACATAACAATTAATTTCTTAACTCAAATATAATGTAAATATTGTTTTAGTTAAATTATTAATGTTGCCGATGTGTGTATTAAATTCATATTTTGAATGTTGATTTTTCTTATATTTATTTTATTTTACGTATAACATTTATTAATTCTCTCCCTGGTTATTGTATTATCCTCATAATCCCTCAGGCGTTTTCAATCATAATTAGTTTACCTTATCTTAATATTAATATATTAGTTTTCGAATTGTTGTTCAGAACGAAACAAATTTGGTCGTTAAAATAAATATACAAAATGGTAAACCAATTTTTTATCTCAACCAGTAAATTGTTTAAATTATAAAATGGATATTGTTAAAGAATAGTTTTTATAGGTTATAACTTCAAGCGTATAAGGTTTCAACCCGCGCACAACCACTACAAAGGTTTTCCATTACTAGGATCAACAAAGGGTAAGAAACCCTTTCCCTCATTTAAAGTTACGTAAACTGACTGAATAATTTAACGCCTAATTTTAGTTCATGGTGTTATGAAATGAAATCTTACTAAAAAAAGCTTTTCATTGATATTGGTAAAATGTAACGCTGCTGTAAAACGTATTTTTATTTTTTTAATTAACAATACAAACATCAATGAAACATGCTCTTAAGGCCCGTTTAATCTCACAACTTCAATGGCAATTGGAAACTTAATCGTAAGGAACAATGAGATACTTAGTGACGACTTCCTTTGCTGCATTCGCTTCCGCACATCGCCTTTTGCATTAAAAGTTTTACGGGTCTGGGTTTAAAACGTGCTTTAGTTTTAAATGTTTTATAGAAGTTAAATTAAGTAGTGATTTATCTAATCTCTCATGAAAATTTCGATTCACATTAATATTGAAAAATAATTTAATTGAAGTAACATTTTCAACAATAGGCTATAATTTGAACTCTTTGTGGAATACAATCGACCTAATCAATGCAACTCGCTATGCTTTGTCAAAGGGAACCATACAATTTGGGACTATCCTACATTTATACCAATGTTGTACGAAATAGTATCGACCGTTCTATTCTCTATACTTAACAGTTAATTATTTCCAAAAACTAAGTAACATTCTATTTTTCTTTCGTGACTTTTCTCTTTAATAATAGTATTTCTCTGACCGTAAAGTAGAAGACAAAAGTTTTATTACTCCGTTTTCTCGGATCCCCATAAATTTCAAGCCTACTAAGAAAACATTAAAGATTTATCAGTTACATTAAGTTTTACGATGTGATTTCCATTTTGAATTAGTTACGAAGATAATGATATTCTGAAAGTTTATATGAAACCTCCTCTATTTTATAATCTTCAACCTAACTTGACTGTCTACGAACAACTACAGTTAAAAGGGAAATAGAATCCGCTACACTTGCAATATAGGAAACCTTTAGTAAAGATAAAAATCGTACTCTAAGTAAGTTGAGTGCGTTACTGTGTGAATTAATGTTTCCATTCATAAAACAAGATCTAAGTTAATGTTTAAACTGATTACGGCGTAAGTCTTTCATGTCAAATGTGACGCATGAGATGTGAAAAGCGATTAATGCTTTGAAAGTCTTCAAAGCAGAGCTTTACTGTAATTTTCCATTAAATCCCCGGCGTTAAATTAATCAAACCATCCCATCCCGGAAGGGGAAATATTTCGCTTGAAATTTAATTTATGGACTCGAATGCACAACTCACCGTCACATTCGCTGGCGAACGGAATTCACGCCACGAGTTTCACGGATTTAGATTCTGATTTATCACATTTACAGAGGATATATCTATACTTTTATTCTATTATAATAAAGTGTAAACACACACTTCTTTGTTGTCAGCAATTAGAGCATATTTTTGAATAATTCTTTTTTTTTATAAAAAGTCCTACACTTACGTCACGCTTTCGGCTATATATTTCCACGCCATTAAACTTAGGGGGTAAATATTTTGGATAAAAACCCTAATGTGGGAAAGAGACCAGAAGTTGCTGCCAACATCAAGGAAGCAAGATTACGAAGTATTGTCATATCATGTTATTATGACATTTGCAATTGGTAATTTGACACATGTAAACAATTAAATAATTTTATGCTGATGAAATCGCACGGGAACAGCTAGTACATTATATATTTACTAAATACTAATATATGCTTCATAATTAGTATGTCTACTTTCAAGTTTCTAGTATTACGCTTACATTAGTTCTATATTATCTTTATTATTGCTATTTGGTTTTTTTCTGTGTCCAAAAATTGTGTGTCTAATGTCGGCCACCTACTTTCCTACTTCTCTAAAAATAATATCTAATAAGTTATTTTATCTACCTTTCTAGTTTCTAGTACCTTGTGTTAAAATGAATATGTTGTTTACTGATTTTATTTTCATCCTCGATAAATAAATTGAAAGAGAAATAACTGGAGTAAGATAATAAAAAGTGTCGTGTCGAGGTGAAATTGAGTGCCATTTAATTAAGTAACTTCATCTGGAGCATTTATTACGAGATTAATCTCGGCGTGACGTCACGCCGCGAGCATTTCGTAAGCAATTTCTTTAAAAAGATTATATCGAACGAGATTCATTTTTCATTCATTATTGTATTAAATTAAATTAATAGACACGAATAGAGTGTTTCTATTTTATAAATTGTTATCGTTAAAATTTCGTAAGTTATATTTTTTACAACTAGCGATCCGCTCCAACTTCGCCTAGTTGTCAAAGAATATGCGTCTTATATCTATATCTTTTCTGTCATATTTATACCCTTCCCATTGTCATTTTTATTCCAACCTGTTACTTAGTAATAATGTACCTTTCTAATTGCATAAACTTGATTAAATCTGGTTACAAAACATACAAACAAACAATACTTTCATCTTTTTATGTCATATTTGATTGCTACATCAACAGGAACGTAACAAGTTTCGTACAGGGTCGTATACTAATGAATAATCAATAAGCAATTTCCCGAAAGCGATCGAGGAAGCGAAAATTATCTTGAGATTAGAACCGAAGGTTACACCCGCGCTATGAGCATCAATTAACTATTGAACAATTATCGAGTGTTAATCGAATTATAAACTCGACGTTCAGTGGGGATGAACGATTCAATTAAATACAAACAGATTATTCGTACTAACTATAACTAAGCCTAGTGGAATGGCAAATACGTACTGTTATTTCTTACTACGAGTTCTGTGTTATTAAATTTTGTAAGAACAGTAATTTTTAATAATGTTTTTATGGAACCTGTTAAAATGGAAATGTTTAGTGGCAACATAATAGTTTTACAATTGATTTTAAATTATCTAATTTTATTTTTATTTATGAAAAAAACAAAATAGTGCTTATGTAACGTTTATAACAGGTATTCTATAAATCAGGCCGGACACACAGGGGACAAAACGGTTCGTGGTTGCAAGAACTTTCTGGAACTAAAGTCCTTGCGCGTCTCCCCT